AGAGAGAGAGAGAGAGAGAGAGAGAACAATTAAAAGGAGTTCCTCATAAAACTAAACAATTGAACATTGACAGAATGCTAGCATTAGTTCCAACTTCCGAGTTATTAAGAAAATCAAGTCTTGGGTTGAACAATCACCGAACTAAAGAAAGAAAAGAAAATTGGCATATTGCATTGCTCTACCATCGCAGAAGAGCTTTCCTAGCCAAAACAACCATGATAGTTGCCAACCAGATTTACAATCAAAGAAGAAAGAAAGAAAGAAGGAAAAGCACCACCACTAACAGAAATCACGTAAGAACTACAGTCTTGAAGTCAGCACTAGAACAGTTTTTTTTTAGTAGGATAGTCGCAATCACAAGATGAAAACTGAAATGATAAGCAAAATGCGGTTGTATTCATTAAAAAGATATTTAAAAAGTAACTTACCAACAGTGGCCATGGTTACAATGGCAAAATACATAGAAGTTGTATAGCGCTTCCATAAGTCGATATCCCTGAAGTTTGAATAACTATAGTCACCTAACTTCAAACTTCCAATCCATGTGTACCCCTCTTGTGAAGCAGGCAAGGTGGTAGCCAAATAGTAAAAGATGCAGGCTGCTGTATGCGTGCAATAGAGTTCAACAACAAGAAGCTTTATAACCCTGGTAAAATTATAATTGATACGAATATCCTTCTCTAGGTCTTTAAAGAACTTAGTGACTTTGCGCACCCGACTTAACCTTATCCATAGGAGATACCTCACTTCCTCTCTTCTCCCACAAACCTATTCAAAAACAGCTTTCATCAAGTGAATACGGAAGAAGAAACATATTGCAAGCATTATAGTAGATCAACTTTATTACTTTAACAAATCAAGATATATGCTGCAAATTTATTTTGATCTCATAGATTCGGTACATCTGCCTGCAAATCTCATGCATTGGCAAAACAAGAGTAGTAACAAACTAACATTTCCTGCCTGAAAGTGTTGATGGGCAAGTCACATAAACCGCCCATCCGTAAAGAATACAGTTAGGAGACCCATCCAAGAGCATGTATTATCCTTGAAAGCAATAAAATGTTTTCTGAACAAATAAAGGCGTATGACTAAGGATTGTCACTTGACATAGAGTTACCTGCCCATTTATATACGAAAATTTGAGTGTTAGCTCAAATTTTAAACTTAAATTTAAGAGTTGGGACATCTATCCTAAGCAGTTAATTAAATTATCTCGCGACAATCTTTTTCATACAGTTACTTACCCATAACTATAAAAAGCCACCACTCAAATGTCATAACGCATAATCCTGAATAACAATAAAAAATGAAAGACCCCCTGCTACCCTCAATATTCAAAATACAAAAAAGGAGAAAATGGTGTTGAGAGATATATATGGGTAAACTTGGAATTACCTTGTAGATGTTATCCCAAGGCATACAACCAAGCAGATCAATGATAAAATTAGATTTCAAGTACCTGCAAAGGAAAAGTTAAATTCGGCACTGCACTGGAAATAAAGTAAAATGCTGGAAGAACATAGCTTGTGAAATTACCATGTACATTTGTTTGCTTTAAAGTGGTAACTAAATTCTATACATACCAGTAAGTAGTGATTACTTGCTAAGAAGTTTAAACAGTTAAAACCCATTACCACAACCTACTCTTCTATAAACATAGACAATCAGATTGTGTTTCCAATATTTCAGCATCTAGCTTATATGACTATGGTGGTATATGATAAGAATCGACAAAACCGTATATATATGCTACTGTTGCTAAGACAATTGCATAAGCTAACATAACAGCTAGAGTGAAAAGTATATACTAACCTGAGAGCAATAGGAGTTCGCTTATAGACCATTCGATATGTCTGACCATCTCTGTAAGCCAGGAAAAACTGCAAAATTATGTCCAAAAGGAATGCTACCTGTCCTACTACGTCCATTATAAAAAGTTTCTCTTCCAAACCCCTGAAAAACCCGAACTCGAAAGGTGTGAAGAAGGATGAGTACACTGCCCACACCAGTATGAATTTCGTCCATGCCCGATACCACCTGCATTTGGTCGTCACATTTCAGGTTTTTTTTTCCTTTTAACACAAACTGACCAAAACACCAAAACAAGAAGAGGAGAAAAATAACAACAAAACAAAAAACTTTCTTTGGTGAAGTTGATAATGACATATAATATATATATATATAATGTTTCCATATATGTATTTAATTGGCTGAACATAACACTAACACTATGTGTTGTGTTCAACGCTAATGTGCTGAACATAATGCTCAAACCACAGTTTGAGCATTCATTTGTCAGTCACCAATCCATGATGGAGATCATAGAAGTTTTGTTCAAGATTTTTTTTTTTATTTTTTATTTTTAAAGACGTGTGCTGGGTTAATTTGTGAGGGTCTAGGGATGAAGGTAGAAAGAGTACTTTTTTCTAGTGGGTTTATTTTTTCTTGGAAAAAATGCCAAGGGTTGAACTACGTTTTTCTAATATAATCCTAACCCAATACTCTACTCTCCTTCACTACTTGAACTAATGCCAAGGGTTGATGTGCGTCTCTACTTTACAATCTCGATCAGACCAAAAAAAAAAAATACTTTACAATCTCGAGAACATAATGTATCAGTTATCATGTATGAGATTATTCCTTACTCATTTCTATATGTGGAGAGAGAACATGGAGCTTCAAAAGATTAAAACCTAGTCTTAAAGAAACATAATCACCAATCATCCTTATTAAAACAATCAACAAATTAGTAAAAAATGCATTTATTAAACATGAATAATGCATACATACATGTGTAGTACATTTGATTTAAAGTTTTTTATATGTTAAATTTTGGATTTGGTCGTTTGATTTTTTGACTGTTGATATGAACTTTTTACAAATATGATTAGTCTTACACGTTCTCGAAATTTTTGTGTTTGTATTTATTTTATATCTGAGTTTTGAATACTATGAAAGCGTTACTTTAATTTTGCCATTGTACACTAATCCACCTTATATTATACATGAAATATGTACAATTATTTATAAAATACTTAAAACATAAACACATCACTCCACACGTGTTATAATTTTAGAGATTAACAGTAACATTTCTAAATCATATCCCCAAGAAAAATCTACATCTAGGCTCGCAAAATTGGGCTGACATGTCCATGATAGATATGGATAACTACGACTATGTGATCTCAATCCTGGGATCGACCACACAAGGAAAACCAAGAATTAGTCAACAAGGAACAACATCTACAACCTACACCTAATTTATCCAACACACAGACCGAAAAAGAAAAATGATGTTTAATAATTAATTTTATGAATAACGTACAATCGTTTCAGAAAAAATAAAAATAAAAATAAAAAAATAAAAAAATAATTATCTCTTGAATTGGAAGACAACTTTATTTAATCTAATCCATTTTTGGTTGAATTTTATTTATTTATTAATAGTTGTGTACTTATTTATTAGTTAACTGTTTGGCGTCGCGGAATCTAAAAAAACGAAAGGAAATAATAATAAGCATGAGTTGCACACGCAAGGCAAGAAACAGCTGTCCTAGTCATACGGTGCTCTAGTACCAAAAATAAGTACACAATTAAAAAAGTAGTATTAGTACTTCAAATTAATTTCTCACTTTTTTTTTATTATAATTGATAGTCTGAATTATCAGATATTTGAGTTTTCACACACACATACAATAGAGATATCATGGGAATTCAAATATAAGACCTCTGATCTGCAAATCAAAGTTTTTTTTTTTTTTTTTCCATCGGACAAAACCCCGTTGGTATTTCTTACTTTCTATCTTCACCATAAAACTTGTGGTATAGCTCAACTTGTTTTACTAGATATTTGATATATTTTGTTGTCAAACTAGTGAATTGGTACAAAAATTCACCTAATCACTAATTTAAAATGAGTTATTATTCACACTTGGAAAAATAAGCGTGAATTGCTTATATAATAAACCTAGATGATAATTGTCACTCTGTATTTTTTATATAAAAAGAATTTACTCAATTTTGTAGAAAGTAGCCATCATGATATTAGCAATAATTAAACATTAATATGCTACGCCATGTGAAATCCATGACTATATCGCATGACAGTAACACTTACGGTCGGCGTTATATACAGCATAATCTCCTTCAACAATATTCAGACCAAAAAAAAAAAAAATCTCCTTCAACAATAAAGACAATCACCATGTCGACGTCCGCATTAAAAAAACACCTCCGTGTCGACGAATAATAATTTTCTTGAATCATCCATCAATAACCTCTCCTTTATCTTTTTCGAAAATCCATCAGTAACCTCACTACACCTATTGGATATGAGATATGGGGTCCACACACCGGCATGCATCTTACTCAATTTAAACACCTAAAATCCAATCATCCAGGTGGAGAAAATCGAACCGTTCGTGTGATTTTAAATTTGCACCATCGCAAAGTCAAAACCAAATGACTGGGACGCGTCGCAGCCGTTATCAATAAACAAGTCGGCAGTATAAAAATGTGATCTCTCCCATAGTATTTTTCATTCAGTAACTATTCTTAAATAAATTATAATAGATGTTAATCGGTCTAGTCGAGTGAAAAAAAAACTTCAATTTGCAGACAAGAAATTTCAAGTGAATCCTATGATACCATAATATGTGTAAAAAATATTCCTTTTTGTAGTTTACACTGCCATTTATATTATATAAAATTAAATTATAATAGATAAATACTGATTTTTTTTTTAATTCGTTGCTTAGCCGAAAATTTTGGAGACACAAATATTCAACTTTCTTGTTCATCGCTCGCTCAAATTTTAAAATAATAATAATAAAAATAAAGAGAAATTAATGAGATTGAAGATGAAGCGTACCAGTTGTCAGGATGAATGACGCCGTGGGAAAGGCCTTTGACGCCATTGATGAGGCTCTGGCGACTGAACCGTCTCAGAATCGAAGAGGAGTCGTCGTCGAGCCCTAACTCGTTCGTGATGAGATTGAATCGGCTTCCGCGCGACGATTTGATGCGGTCCTTGATATCCTGAACCTCATACTCTTCCTCCTCGTCCTTCAACTCGTCGTGGTTTTCGTGAGGCTCTGCTACTCTCCTCGACATTTCTCAAATTCACCGACTCGATCGACTGTTCGTGTTCGCTTCAGATTGAGAATTTGAAATAAAAATCCAACACTGAAAAGAAAGCGCGCGCATCTTCAAATCACGAACGGAGCGATAAATATATAAATAAATAAAAAATCACGAGGCGGCCGTGGTGCTTATGACATGTTTGGTTGCGGAGAAAATCCAAGTACCTTTTTCACGGAAAACCTTAGCGATTTGTTGTGAAAAGATATCACAAAGACGCAAGGTGGAGAAAGTGAAAGCTCCAAAGCTCAAATCTGTTCAAATCTGTTTATTTTTTGGAGGTTTTTTTTGTGTAGTTTTAAGCCAAGCACGCAACGCAGAAAGACTGCAGTACTGAGCTTCAAATCTGTTTTGCGCTCTTCCCAATTTATACTTGCAACTCCTATTGTGCCTTTTTTCATGCTGACGTACTTACAACATTTTACGTTTTTTTTAATATTTTTTATTTTATAAATATTTGTATCTTCTGCGACGCAACGTGTACCGCACTGGAGGCTGGGGTGCCCAATAACAAATCTAATTATTCTCTCATTATGTTTTAGTACATAATGTTTTATTTTAAATTGGATTAACATGTTAATCACACATCGAATCCATTTTATCAAGATTCCTTCAATAAGTTTTTTGGACTTCTTCTCTAATATCTTAAAAAGAATATTCAGTGCCTTGGTATGCGTAGTGGTGCCATCTAATTTATTTTTACCGGAGACTAAAAAAAAAATAGAGGGTTCTTTCAATGATGTTTCATTTTCTTTTGAACTTTTTGAATTTATTTTGTAAATTCAGAGAGATAATGAATGAACATGGGCATTGGCGGATCCACATAGGCGTAAGGAGGGTGCAACTACACCTTCCTTCGCTTGAAAACGACATGGAGATGCTGAAATGGTGCCCCTCTGCTACTGCACAAAATCTGTTCAACGAAATGCTTGAACGAGGTGCTCTGTTTGCTGAGTACGCACAACTTAATCTCCTAATCAAAACGAAGTCGTTTTGGATCAGAGAAAAAATAAATTAAATAAGAGGAAACAATGTCGAAGCTTGACTTTGTTTAAATGTGACTTTCTTGTCCTGCTACTCACTGGCAGACCTGTTAAGGAGTAAGGAGATGCAGTTGCACCAAGTAAATGTCTTTGTCTTTTTACTTTCATTTATTTTTATATTACTCCATTTACTTAAGTTTACAATGTAAATAAGGAAGTACCCCCATTTGGATTTAAATAAAAATACTAGAAAATCAAATTCCCTCCAAATCAAAATTTGAAAAATCAGTTTTAGTGCAAAATACGATTTAGGCTAAAAATGATAGCTCATTAAGTCAATATATACTTCATAATAAAATCTCATAAAATCAAGTTTTCTTATTTGATGTGTAAGGAATAAAAACCGCCAAAAATTATCTTGAGAAAAT